AGTTCCTTGGGTTTGAGAGAGTGAGAAGGACATCGTCCGCACATCCTGATACTTTATATGTCTGGTCGCCCACCGTGATTCCCTGTATAGATTGGTTCGATCTGATTGCTTGCATTAGAGGTTCTAGTGTGAGTACGAACAGGAGGGGTGACAGTGGGCAGCCCTGTCGTGTGCCGTTGTGTAGGGTGATAGGGGCTGTCATGGCACCCGGGATCCGGATGTGTGCCTTGATATCTGTGTACATGGCTTGGATCGTTTTAATGTACGTCTCGGGGAACCGGAGATTTCGTAAGAGTTCAAACAGGTATGTCCACTTTACCCTGTCAAAAGCCTTTTCAGCATCAAGAGAGAGTATGAGCGTTGGGGTGCGTGAGGTCGTCTGTGTTAAGTATTAAGTCGATGTTGCGTCTAGTGCTTTCAAATAGCTTTCGTCCGGGAATGAAATCCACCTGGTCTTCGTGAATTAGGTTCATTAAGTGTGGAGATAGTCTTTCTGCTAATATCTTGGCCAGTAGTTTAACGTCATGGTTGATCAGCGATATGGGTCTGTAATGTTCAGTGTATGTTGTGTCTTTCCCCGGTTTTGGTATTAGTACTATGTGGGCCGTAGACATTTTTGGGTCGGGATTTCCGCCTTGCATCAGGTGGTTGAACCACTTTAGTAGGTGAGGTATCAGCTCTTCTCTATATGTCTTGTAATAGCTGCCCTCGTAGCCGTCAGGACCCGGGGCCTTTTGTCCCTTAAGGCGGGAGATAGCTCTGTCTATTTCGTCTGCTGTGAATTCATCCCCCAGTGTCTCTATTGCTGAAGGGGTTAGTTTCGGGAGATCAATTTTGCTAAGGTGTTGCCTGATATCTTCCCGCATGTCTGGTGCATTGTCGGCGTCAGTGAGTGTGTGATTGTATAGGGATTTATAGAAGTCGGTGAAGATTTGAGCTATATCCGCCGGTTCTGTTTTAGTCTGTCCTGTATGGTCCCTGAGTGTTGTGCTGTGTGTTTGTCTTGGTCGCGGGCGCAGTGTGCGGGCCAGGAGCGTGTGCATTTTGTTGGCCTGTTCGTAGAATGTTCTCTTAGACCATGTCATAGCCTTCGCGACATCGTCTAACAGAGTCTCTCTAATGTGGCGTCGGGTAGTCTGTAGGGCTATGAGTCCGTCGGGTGTGGGGTTGGATTTGTGTCTCTGTTCTTGAGTGTGTAAGTCGCGTAAAAGGGTTTTTAATTGTTGTGTTTTTAGTTTCTTTTTTATGGTGGCTTCCCTGATGAGGGTACCTCTGATAATAGTTTTGTGAGCAGCCCATATGGTTGTGGGTGTCAGGTCCTGTGTGGTGTTTAGTTGGAAGTATTCTACAATCTCTCTGCGTATAGTCTCTTTAATGGCTGGGTCCTGCAGTAGGGAGGTGGTTAGTTTCCAGTTCCACTGGGTCGTGGCACAGAGGTTGTCTAGTTCTAAGCTGATGTCTGCATGGTCAGACCAAGTGATGGATCCTACTGAGGACTTTGTGGTCTTTTGGATGGCTTGGTCGTTTACTAAGAAGTAGTCGATGCGGGAGTAGGAGTCGTGGGGTGCGGAGTAGAATGTGTAGTCTACTTCTCTTGGGTGTTGGGCCCTCCACACATCTATCAGTCCCGTTGTGCAGATGAAGTCATGTATCAGTCTGTCTTGTCTCCCTCTGCCGTGTGAGCGTGATAAGCCCCTTATGGTCCCCCTATCTGCGGCAGGGCCTGGAGCGGTGTTAAAGTAACCTCCCATTATAATCATGCCATGCTGTAAAGCTTTCAGTTTGTTTGCTATTTGATCCCAGAAATCTCTGGATGGTTCATTAGGTGCATAAATGTTTATGAGGTGAATGGTGTGAGCAAATAACGTCCCGGAAATTATGAGGTATTGTCCGTCTGGATCTGGGATGACCCCCGTGACCCGTAGCGGACAACGTTTGTGTATTAGAATCGCTACTCCGTTGCGTTTGGAGTGTGATCTAGCCTCATAGCCCGTGTAGTATATGTGGTCTCTGAGGGATATCCCTAGGGTCTTAGGTAGGTGGGTTTCTTGTAGAAAGGCTATATCTGGGCCTAGTCTTTTAAGTTCTCTGGATAAGAGCCTACACTTTTTAGGAGCATTCAGCCCCTTAAAAGACCACTATAGGCACCCAGACCACTTCAGCTTAATGAAGTTGTCTGGGTGCCAGGTCCAGCTAGGGTTAACCCTTTTTTTTTAATAAACATAGCAGTTTCAGAGAAACTGATTTTCACAGTGAGAAGACGCCAGCGTCCATAGGAAAGCATTGAGAATGCTTTCCTATGGACTGGCTGAATGCGCGCGCGGCTCTTGCCGCACATGCGCATTCAGCCGAAGAGGAGGAGAAGAGGCGGAGAGGAGGAGGAGAGCTCCCTGCCTGGCGCTGGAGAAAGAGGTAAGTTTAACCTCTTTATACAGGTTTCGCCCAGGTAGACCAAACCACAGGGGTATATTCAAATGTATAACACATGGGTGGTATCACACGTAAACCATCCCTTGATATCATAGGTCGCACCTGTTCTTAGATGACAAAAAGTACTAACATTAAACACTGCACTGCATAAGGATATCATGGCACTAGAAAAAGTGCAGAGACGAGCTACAAAATTGATAAAAGGAATGGAACATTTTAGTTATGAAGAAAGGTTAAAAAAATTTAAATATTTTTAGTTTGGAAAAACGGCACCTCAGAGGAGATATGATAACATTATACAAATATATTCGGGGCCAGTACAAACCATTATCTGGAAATCTATTCCTAAACAGGGCTATACATAGGTTGTTTTTTTTTTTACAGTAGGAGTAATAAGGATATGGAATTCTCTGCCTGAAGAGGTGGTATTATCAGAGTTCATACAAATGTTTAAACTGAAATTGGATAAATACTTGCAAAAACATAACATACAGGGATATAATTTCTAATTAGTGGGGTAATAGCTGCTTGATCCAAGGATACATCTGACTGCTATTTTGGGTTCAAGAAGGAATTTTTTCCTAGTTTGCAAAATTGGAAGTGCTTCAGACAGGGTTTTTTGACTTCTTTTGGATCAACAGCAAAAACATATGTGAGGAAGGCTGAACTTGATGGACGCAAGTCTCTTTTCAGTTATGTAACTGGTGGCTTCTCCAAGCACTTGTACACTTCAGATAAGATAGAGAGAACAGGAACTACTGGATCATTAATAGTAAGATATTTCTTAAGTTCATTGTCAATTATTCCCTTATCACTTGCCTTACATAGGCTGAAAAGAGACGTGTCCATCAAGTTCACCCTTCCTCACATTTGTTTTTTGCTGTTGATCCAAAAGAAGAAAATAAAAAAACAGTTTGAAGCACTTCCAATATTGCAACTAACTAGGGGAAAAAAATCTCTCTTGACCCCAGAATGGCAGTCAGATCATGAAGCTATTACCCTACAGTTGAAAAATTGAATATTATGTTTTTGCAAGTATGCATCTAGTTGCTGTTTAAACATCTGCACAGGCTCTGATAAAACCACTTCTTCGGTCAGAGAATTCCACATCCTTATTCTTTACGACAATGCATAACTTTGCATTTTTCTACATTAAAGGGACACTCAGGGAACCCAGATCACTTCTGCCCATTAGCGTGGTCTGGGTGCCAACTCCCATCATCCTTAACCGTGCAAGTGTAATTATTGCGGTTTATATAAACTGCAGTGATTACCTGGCAGGGTTAAGTCCTGATAGACAGCCACTAGAGGGACTTCCGGGATCTTAAAACACGAAATGCATGCAGACCTCCAGTGTCGCCGGAATCCCCATAGGAAAGCATTGAATAATGCAGCGCATTCGCATTAGGTCAGCCGGCGGGGGAGGAGCGTGGGCGGAGCCTGACCCAGCACCCAAGGGACATCAGTGCTGGATTCAGGTAAGTCACTGGAGGGGTTTTAACTCCTTCAGCAACATGGGATGGGGGCACTGCAGGAACCTGGTTTTCCTGGCACTGGAGAGTCCCTTTTAATTTTATCTGCCATTTTAGTGCCCAGTCCCTCAATCTATCTAGGAACGATACATTTTATATCACTGGTAAAGTCACCTATGTATAAACATAATTTAGTTGTCTGAAGCTTACTGAGGATAGTACGTCTTATTCATGACCTCCACCCTTATCAGCAGGTTTAATAATAATATTTGAATAAAACTTTTCTTTCTATTTAAGGACCACTATAGTGCCAGGAAAACATACTCGTTTTTCTGGCACTATAGTGCCCTGAGGGTGCCCCCACCCTCAGGGACCCCCTCCTGCCCAGCTCTGGAAGGGGGAAAGGGGTAAAAACTTACCTTTTTCCAGCGCTGGGCGGAGAGCTCTCCTCCTCTTCTCCTCCCCGTCGGCTGAATGCGCACGCGCAGCAATAGCTGCGCGCGCATTCAGCCGGTCACATAGGAAAGCATTATCAATGCTTTCCTATGGACGCTTGCGTGCTCTCACTGTGAAGCACGCAAGCTCCTCTAGCGGCTGTCAATGAGACAGCCACTAGAGGAAATAGGGGAAGGCTTAACCCATTGATAAACATAGCAGTTTCTTTGAAACTGCTATGTTTATGAAAAAAGGGTTAACCCTAGCTGGACCTGGCACCCAGACCACTTCATTAAGCTGAAGTGGTCTGGGTGCCTAGAGTGGTCCTTTAAGTTAGGCTAGATCACTGGTGACCTTTGTGGGACACGCATTGCAAAGCAAATCAACTTTCAGTCTTAAAAAACAAAACAAAAACCCAAACCTTTCAAGCTCTCCGCTAGTTACTGGGCAGACAGTTCACAATAACAGCAGCCAAAACAAGTGTTTGTATTCCCAGCCACTGATGAATACCCAGAAGCACAGTTTGCATCATTATCATCCCCTGTTAACGGCCATTGAGATCAATAAAGTTTATACACGTAAAAAAAACAAAAGAAGATACTATTCCTGTAGGGAAATCTGGTAGAACACTGGGTGTGCTATCACTTTTCTCTTAGTTGCGTAGTAACACCTAGCCGGAGGCGCGAAGTGAGCGGTAGCTCCTCCCTCTGCTCGTGACGTCAGTGAGGCGGAAGGCGCGCACTGTCTGTGTGGCTGTGGCCGCAGCGCTCGGAGTCCCCACGTGCACGGTAGGTATATAAACAGAGCCGGTAGGTGCACGGGAGAGGGTTCATTGGGCATTTTATGTTAAGTGAGCTGTCAGTGTCTGTATTGGGATTACAATATACATTCAGCTTACAGTGGGAGAAATACAGCATGATTTATATAATACATAGCGAGGTTTATATAATATATAATTTATTTCCCCATTATTCTTTGTCACAGGCATGGCCAGAAGATGGTCACGCTGTAACCCTCTCAAATACCTATATGTACTACTCATTTATTTATTTATGACTGGTATTTATAAAGCGCCAACAGATTCCGCAGCGCTGTACAATTAGCGGAGAACATACGATATACACAGACAAATACAAAAGGTGTTGGCCTATACGCTTTTTTTTTTTTTTTTTACTAATAATATAAGATTGTATAGAAATAATACAGGTTTAAAAAAATAAAACATCTCATCTCACCCGTCGCCCCCCCCCCCCACTTCTTTCTTTTTCATTTACTTATACCATTCTACTATAGGAGATTTTACACAGAGCTTCACGTGATATTAAGAGAAAACACTTATTTATTTTAAATTAAGTTAAACATCTTTTAGTTTAGGTAATTGATAAAATATATATATATATATATATACACTCCAACAAATGAATTCAAGGGTTGCACTCACGGTCTGAACGACGAAACTCTTATTTTATTCCATAAGAAAGACGAACAAGATCAACGTTTCGGTCCGCACAGGGACCTTCCTCAGGATCAAATGACATATATAAAAATAAAACAAAAGAAAGTAATTTCATGCCCACTTTAAAAGCATACATTTGTAAGAGTGAAAATTTATTTTTGTGTGTGTATATATATATATATATATATATATATATATATATATATATATATATATTTTTTTTTTGCTGGTACCTGCCTTGGCCAATTGAAATGATTGCAAACCCCTCGTGAATTCTGCCCTTACAGTTTGCAAGAGCACTTTACACTTCCACATTTGTCCGTGGTAGTATTGTCCAGGTTTAGTTGGCCTTAATTAGCGAAGAGCGTGATATCTATGATTACATTTCTGCCCTTGCAATATGAGAGCATGATAACATCTCTTTGTACATTAGCAGCATTGTAAGTGCATATGAATATTTTCATGTCGACAATGGGCTTGAGTTTGTGTGTAAGATTGAATGCAGAAATGTGTTTAAAGGTTATGATACTAAGAGAGTGTTCCCTTCAATACATCTTGGGCTGTGGAAAGTGATATGAAATTATTTGAAAGCATTACATTACATATAGATGAGGTGTGGCAGGTCCAGAAAAGTCAGTAAACCTTTTATGTAAAAAAACCCCAACAACTTATTTTTGGCTTACCACGCTGCTTCGTTATATTGAACCTAAGAAGGTCAGCCTCTCTTGTTGGAATCCCCTGAATACAGCCAGGTTGATTACCCCCTAAGATCTGTACCGAGTAACTTCTGTGATAGTCACACAATGGGGATTGACACATGGTCATATCATAGTCTGGTTATAAAGCTACAGTGTTAGGAGAAGCATTATATCCCTTAAAAGAACCACTCCAGGCACCATGCCAAATTTATCTCAATTAAGTTGTTATGATGCCTGTAGGTCCTGGGCAACTGATTACCTTAAAGGTGTAACTCGTTTATGCCTGAAAGTTGCAAAGATGGCATTAGTCTGCTCTATCCAGCTCCTTCCAATGATGGTTTTAGGCTTCAATACTGCAGGAAGCCTTGGACTGAGCACTGCTCAGAGTATTGTGTCAAAACGCCAGCTGTCCTTTTAGATAACTGAATAAACCACTATTATACTGTTTATGCTGATTGCTGGAGGCTTATTGTCTTTATTTTATTGGTCATCCATTGGAACAAGGATCTGGCTGTCTGCACAGGAAATTGGTGGAGTTTTTATCACAATGACTTACTTTAATTGTGTTTCAATAGGCTGAGTGTGTCAGCTGACGCTCTCAGCCCATCATTGGTTACCCCAATCATAAATCTGTGTTGTGTACCTTTTCCACACAGTTTTATGAATGAAGAGCTAGTGATAGCTGGCTGACAATTCAGACTTTCTCAGACTATTATCGGTGCCCAATCTGAGGCTTCATGATTAAGGCTCCTGACCATCACGTGTGCTGTCTTTGGTAAATGATTTAACCTCTTATGGTAAGATGGCTTCTGGTGCCATAACCGCTTCGTTGAGGTGAAGTTGTTATGGTGCTCAGTGTCCCTTTAATCTGTGTTGAATGCTATGACGTCACTTGGATATGTAGACATTTCTTTTTCTGGAGCAAATGTTTTCCTTTTGTTTTAGATTGTAAGATCATTTGGGCAGGTCCCATTTTACCTACTGTTCTAGTATGTCAATCAGCATCAGCCGGCGGGGGAGACCTAATATGCATGCACATTCTCATCTATGCTTTCCTATGCGGGAAAATCTGACGCTGGAGGTCATCATGCAGAGTGTGAGGACGTCCAGGGTTAGATAACGATTTTCGATTCCAGAAGCCCTCTGTTGCAAAAGGGACACAGCACCCAGATCACTTAAATGAGCTGAGGTGGTCTGGGTGCCTACAGTGTCCCTTTAAAGCAGACTTGTTGTCTTGTTGCAAAAAAAAATTAAATTCCAGAGCCCGGTTGGTAAAGGGTTATTTGGGCAGTAAGTGTGCAGCATTTACATCTCCAACCCTCCCCACATGATCAAGTAATAAATAGAAATGTTGGCAAGATTTTGTGATGCAGCAATGGGTAAAAGAGCTATGTTGACAAGTGTTAGGTGCGTCTCATTGCTCATCCTTGACATTGTATCGTGCGTCATCAATAGAAATGTGCTCTAGAGATTTATTATTCTCTTTCTATTGAACTAATGGCCACTCTTTGAAATTGCTTTTACTTTAGATACTGTTGGCAGGAATGCGCATATAATTGAATCTTTAGAATGCTGCATTTTCCTTTAGACATAAAAAAGGTGGGAAGAGCAGTAGGTTGCTAAGACACAAATGCAATGATCTGTGTTTATGTTTTGTTTTATTTTTAAAACATTTTATTGGTAGTTTTCTGTATTAACCGCAAAGACACCTACAGTATAGCAAATTATTAAAGCATTATTATGCAATAACATCTAAAAAGTACAATCGTCCTATAACAGGGGTAGGCCAACTATGGCACGTGTGCCATGCATAGGACTCCAGGTGCTTTTGCACGACACTCGAGGGTGCTGGCCTAACAGGTGCTGGAACTTCAGATATCTGCTAGTGCAAAAAGGTTATGAGGGACAATCCTCAATTTCTGGATTACAGCACATGTGAACATAAATTCACACTGGAGTAGAGCAGCCCACAGCAGCAATTGCAGCTTCTTCCCTTGACCAGTACATGGCCAGCCCAGTTCTCACTAGACCCTAGGGAAGCCACCCACACTGCAAGTTATACACAGAGCTGCAGAAGAAGCCTCCCTTCATACAAAAAAATACAAACAAACACAATACCACTGACAATCCACATACATGCACATAACCCCACAAACAGCCCTACACACACACACCCCAAACACAATATGACATAGCATCCACACGCACAATTTTTCACAAACAGTCCCAATACACAGTCCACATTCATATGTATACACAATACCACAAACTACCCATGATCATATACAATATAGCAGCCCACATACACACAAATACAGCGCTACAAAACAACTGCAACACCCATAAATAAGACAATATGGCAATATACACAGCTCAATTTTAAAAAATAGGACTGGCACGCCAAGGGACTTAAACATTTTTTTTGTCACAGTACTACTGAAAGGTTCCCTACCCCTGTCCTATAATATAGCTTGCGGTGAAAAAATAACACATTATACCAAAACACTATCAGTCCTGTTTGATAGTGTTAATTCAAATAAAGGGATTCAATGTCAATCGCAGCAAAATATAAATGAAACAAATAACAATAATATCAACTAGATTATAGCCTCAAAATATTGTACCTTTAGCTAACACATGGGTCAGTAGTAAATTTACTGAGTTAACAGCAGTAAGTTTAATGTTTAGTAGGGGAGGATTGAAGGTTTGTTTTTAGTTTCAAACGCTTTTATTGTCACGAGTCAAGGAGATATATAAAGCAAGACAGGTACAAATATCAAGTTTTAAATAACATATTTGTGACTAAAGACTTTTATACACCTTACATTACATTTTTGTTTATAGCATAAGTAAAATAAAAAAATAACATCTTTATCTAAAACCAACAAAAAACAATGCTCTCGTTTATGAATCCTGACCTATCAAACCCATCTCTATAACTGTAAAACACAAAATGGTCAGTAGCTTCACAAGACAGTAACAAAGGTATACATTAGGGCAGGGGTTCCCAATTTTTCCTGTGGAACCCTTTGACATAGTGTATCAACATCGTGGGTGGAGCCTGACTCAGCGCCGAGGGACATCGACGCTTGTTAGGCTGCAAAATTTTACAGGGTCTGTAACCCTTTTATGCTGCCATGGACTTATGCAGTATCCCATTCTGCTTTCCTTTGTCTCTATGTATGTTCACTGCCATGTACAATCAATGCACACGCCAGTCAGATAAAGTTCAAGAAAGTAGTAGCATTTTTTTCATGCGGGTACATCGTATATGTATAAAACACAGTTTTCTTGGGGTGTGTACAATAAAAGGCAAAATCAAACCAATCATAGCATTTTTAGTGCAAACAGTATTCCTAAAACATTACCTATTGCTGTAAGTCTACTGAGCCTGTCTAGCACTTCTTATCTAAATTATTCAAGGTTACTGCTTGAGAAAGAAAAGGGAGCCAACTGCAAGAGATTGCAGTCAGGGGAAAAATATTTCTTGCTTTTAACCCCTGCAGACATGGAAAGACTTAACTAAGAAAAAAGGCTTTTAAAAACTCTTTATTTACTTGCATATATGACAAGTCCCCTTTTCTGGTACTGCAGGTGAAAGTTTAGGCAAAGTATATCTAGGTGTACTAATTACACGTGTGGGACTTTAATTAGCGCTTCACCTCTATTCCCTCGCGCCCCCTCCCACCAACAAAGCATCGAGGAAGACCTGTCCAGGTATCTGTAGATACAGGATAATATATGTTATTAAATTCATGTCTTCTGTTAAGTGATGCACATGACAGTCTTTGATTTAGGAACCCAATAAAAATTTTAGGTGCTTAGAGAGAATGTTATTTTTTCCAAGGGCAGGATGTTTATATAGTAGAAGCTAGTGTCAGGCACTTGAACAGAAAAATATGGTATGTTTAAAGAATGTGAGTTTAACCCATTCAAAGGATGAGTATCTTGTATTATAATCAGGCCTACTGACCATTCAGTCTTTCAAGCCATGTATATAGTATATACTTTTAGCTAGTATTAAGAAATACAGAAGTAGAAAGCAGGACATGAGACTGACAGACTGTAACATAATATAAATATATATTATGTGTATATATAGCTCTGTATGTCTAGAGGAATATTCACTAAGCATTGCATAGGTATAACAATTTATTCTCCATCAGCGCTGGATTCAGGTAAGTGGCTAAAGAGTTTTTAACTTCTTTTGCCCCATGAGGGGCCCAAAGGGAGGGGCGAAACTATTAACCGTATAGTGCCAAGAAAACGGCTTTGTTTTTCTTGCACTATAGGATCCCTTAAAGGGATTAATATACAGCAAATGTTTGGACAGTAAGTTATTGTAATTTTCAGTGTTCTTTGGCAATTAGAAAAGAGAATTATCTCATGCTGATCTAGCAGTATGTAATAAGCTGCAAATGTATTAAGCAGCACAAGTTTTGTGCACGACAGATTTCCAGTGATAGACATTACACGTGTCTAAAATGCACATTTTCTCTTACCTTAAGACAAGCAGGTGGGCTGTTACTTGCCGTGAGTTAATTCCTGTCTGTTCTCTGACCTATTTTCTTCTCCATGTGAATGGTTTCTCTTGTGTCTATAAGCTTTCCTGTGCTTCTTCCCCAAGACACCTGATATCAAAATATAGGGACATACTGGGTGGAGTTTGACTTCTTAGGTCATCTGACTTGGCACCTTGAAAATGATTTTAGGTGTGAAAAAAGATGTACTTATATTGAGAACCTAGCCCAACATATTTACTCCAAATTGTCAATGAGACAACGTTGTTTTAAAAATCACAAGATGGGGGGTGCTCAGTGATCCCAAGTGCCAGTCTCCTAAATGTAATATAGACAAAGAAGAGGACTTGCACACTATATCAAATTTTGTGACATTTAAATGGATACTATAACCCTCGATTGATTGTAAAAAAATAAATCTTGGAATCAAGCATCAGGCCCTCCTTACGCCACAAGGTTTTTTTGTTTTTTTTCAATAAACAGATTTATATTTGTTTCTTCAGAACTAAAATCTCACATTCCCCTTATTAATATTGTAATCAGCTTCTGCACTTTTTCTAGTGCCATAAAATCCTTCTTTACAACAGGTGCTCAAAATGGCACAACGTAAAGGGGTGATTAATTTGTTTTAATGTTTTATTTTTTTATTTTTATTTTTTTAAACTCGTTATAGGGGTGAACTATTTATTTAAGGGACATCAGGACTGTAGCATTGGGAATACAGATATGTATACCTAACTCTACAGTGTTCCTAAGTGCGGACACCCCCGAGTTGTATGAACAACTCATATGAATATTGGATTCTCTCTTTTTTTTTATTTTTATTTTTTTTTTTTTTCTTCTCTACCTTGCTACTAAGCCACATTGCTTTCAATGTTTTGTTGTTTGTTTGTTTTTTTTTTTTAAATTTATATTATTTACCTGATAGTATATACAGAAAAGTGTACATTTCTAATATTTGTTTGAAGATAATGAATATTCATTTATCCTCAGTGTGTTTTTTTTTTTTTTTTCCTTTTTTACTTGAGTTTGAGTTCATGCCATTCTATGAGTACTAAAGCTGCCCATTTCCTATTAAAATGTAACATGTTTATTATACCCGATCTGTATTTGTATTTTTTAAAATTTATTTCAAAATACACCGTATTGTGCTCCCTTAATTGACTGTTTAAAGTGACACTATAGGCACCCAGAGCTCTTAAGCTCATTGAAGACCTCCAGCGTCAGATTTGATTTAATGCTTTCTCCTAGGGAGGTCTAATGCGTGCGGCATTTGCCATGCATGCGCATTAGAGCCGACTCATTGCGGGATGGAGGAGGAGTTCGACCCAATGCCGAGGGACATTATTATTAACCCTTTATTTACTGGGGGAGGTAGAGGAAGCGATAGTGCCAGGAGTATAGCTCCTATCAATTGTGATGTGAAGGTGCCATTTAACCGGTTCATAAATTACATTTGACACCTACTACCTGCACTGAATATTTGTAGTTTACGGATAGTTTTCTCTGCAGTTGTCTCTCAAGTCTGGGCGTAAAGATCATAGTTAATATCTTTGTACAGGGGAATCTTCAGATTTTCAGAATAAATTATAATGTGCACAGTCTTATTTCTGCGATGTACCCCAATCTCTATACCCAAGCCTGTTTTATTTGTACTTTTGGCGACAATTTGCTTTTCATGTCTCTGTCTGTTATGTAATTCTTTACAAAAAACACTACAACAAAAATCTTATTAAAAAAACCCTACATATCATTGGGCATTTCTTTGGGCTGCACAGTGTGAATAATTATCGCGGTCACGTGTTACAAAGGTTGATCTGACGCATGGGCTGTGAACATTGCCTGACTGGACAGAAACCAAAAATAATAAAATGCTAGTAAGCTGTTATGACATGAGCAATGGCTCTGTTATGCCTCTTTACATTTATTAAGCTTATGTAGGGGTACAATACAAATACATTCTTATAGAATTTTCTAATTTAAAATAGAATGGTAAAAAATTTTGTAATATCGGTTTGTTCTTTGGCTTTCTTCTATTCTTTTGACTACGGCAATTTTTCAAAGCTCAGCATGTTGATTGTCGCCTTTTTACTAATTCTTTGCTTAAGATTTTGTATAATAGGTTTTAATACAGATGTGTAAATAATTTTCTGTATTTTGGTGTCATCTAACAAAACAGATGAATTGTGTGTGTATATAAAAAAAAAAAAATGGTGATTTTGATTAGAGCAGAACTTCTCAAATCAAAACGAATAGCCCACTGCGTTGTGAAAGTATGATTATTTGCAATAAATGCAGCCAAAAGGTAGACTCTCTAGCTGTTGAAACTACACTTACCTACACTGCAAGCCTTAAATTGACACTGTAAAACAGGGCTCGACAAATCCCAGGTGCCATAGGGACGATTTGCCAGCTCTGCGGGGAATATTAGATCCAGCTGCCCTAAGAAGGATGGAGGCAGCCGGCAGAGGCAGCATGGAGCCGGTGTCCCTGAGGCGGCTCCCGCGAGGGCAATGTAGGCAGCGCGCGAGGGAGCAGTACTCTGCCTGTAGCTCCTCTCTGCTCTGTCGCGCTCTGTTTAATGATGCCAGGAGCCTAAATATGACATCACCCTGGCCCCAGCATTATTCCAGAGAGGGCGAGGGAGCAGAGAGCAGCTACAAGCAGAGTACTGCTCCCTTGCACGCAGGATGAGAGCAGCCCCACTGGAACTCCGGGAAAGACCCACTCAGCACTCCCAAAGGTAGAGAGGCTGAGTGGGTTTCAATAAAAAAAAAAGTGTGTGTGTGTGTGTGTGTGTGTGTGCGAGAGAGAGAGCCTGACAGTGTGTGTTTGTCAGAGTGAGTGTGTGTAGGAGCCTGTCAGAATGTGTGTGTGTGTGTGTGTGTGTGTGCGCATGTCATCCTGTCAGTGTGAGTGTCTGCGTTTAGGCACCTGCCCCCTCCGATCGCATGAGGAAGGTGTTTTACTAACCTTTTTACCTGCGACGTGCAAGTCCTACCTTCATTGCTGAGATTATCAATCTTTATGATCTCAGCTAAATCAATGCTTTTTCTTAGGAAAGCATTGGGAGGATTTTGTGAATGCGCAGCAAATGTGCCAATCCGCATCTCCTCATAGAGATTAATGAATCCTGAGGAACATTCATGACTATTGTGTCCCTTTAGGAATTGCATTTTTCTCGTTGAAAACGACTGGCCCCTAACTTTTTTAGCTGGCTCCTTGATTCCAAATAAATTTGTCAAGCCCTGCTGTTAAACACCATAACCACTGCACCACACTGTAGTAGTGATGGTATCATGAGTCCTCTGTAGCCATACTTGGGTAAGCTGGCTAACCTTTTATGAAAACTTTGACAGTAACCTGGGTTCATCAGGCACCAGTCGACCACCCCCTCTTAAGGAATGGTTAAGGTTCCTACTATCAAATTAGGTATATCAATATTATCCTATTTAGACAGAATGGGTTCAACGAAAAGTGTTTGACTCTTAACCACGGGATGATACAGGGCACATATGGCAGCATAACCACGACAGATCGCTTTTCCTCTAAAGGGACAATAAATATATCATAGGCCTGCCTTCTGAGCCACGTCCCCCTATTCCACAAAAAGACTACTACTCCCTCTTCGTTATTCTGTATTATTTCAAATGTATGGAATGACTAAACAGAAATCTTGCCAAACACCTACACCAATGGCCTGCAAAGAGTATTTTGTGTCTAAGTACTCCAGCAAAAGATAGGGGTTTACATTTTACAGTAAGTGCAATAAAAATTTAGACACATGGTGCATAGAAATTCTATGCTTGAGCTTTCATTGGTTTAAGGTTAAAGCCTGTCTCTTAATTAAGGATTTACAGTGTATTCAGACCCCATCATTTATGTCACATGTTATATTGCAGCTTTATTCTAGGGATCGACCGATACCGAAAATCTGTTATTTTTCAGGCCGATAACTTGCCGATATTCTATGCATTTACCATTTTGAAAAAAATAAACTAAAGGTAAATGCACAAAATATACAAGCCACATGCAGTGGATGCAGTGTGTTTAGACAGTGGAGCTGTGTGTATTTGTGTAGTGTGTATAGTTATTGCAGTGACTGTGTAGTGTGTGTTTGTGTAGTGTGTGGTGTGTAAAGGGAATGCAGTGTGCGTAAAGTGAGTGCAGTGTATAGTGTGTATAGCGAATGCAGTGTGTGTAGTGTGTGCATTATATACACACTACATTACATAATATTATATATACACACACATTATATTATATACACTACATTATATATACACACACTACACTATATACACACACTACACACTCTGCATTATATACATACATACACACACACTACATTACATTATGTTATACACACACTACACACTCTGCATTATATACACACACTACACACACGCGGCTGTAGAAAAATGTACTTTTTAAAAACGTATTTAAGGGAGACGTGGAGAGGTGGCACCTAACCTGTTTTTTTAAACCCTCTAGGATCAGGAATACATGTTTGTTTTCCTGACCCTATGGTGTTCCTTTAAAAAAAAAATTTCTTTCTCTCTACTCTCAATATAACATTGACAAAGTAAAAAACATTTTTCGAAAACTTTGTAAATGTATTAAAAAGTAAAATCATATATATTACAGTTGAACACAGAGTGTTGTCCATAATTCAAAAAAATGGAAGAAACAGGACTATTCCTAGAGTTGGCTATCAGACCAAACTGAGCAATTGGGGGAGAAAGGCCTCATTAAATGGACACTCCACTGCCCAAATACAAAATAATCACTGAAAAACATCCATGCATTTAATTATGCATTTTATTAACTGGGGTTATCTCTAAAAACAGCTTGCAAAAGCTGTAGATCACTTGTCTGAAGCCTTTGTAAGCCCTCCGATTCTTTCTTGAGTCTGGCTGTCCAATCCCAGACTTCCCAGTGCAGTTCAATGAGAAAACTTTGCAAGGCAAGTGCTTTATAATTTGCAAATTTCTATGGAAATCTGCACTTTGTAAAAAATAAAGAGCTAAAGTGTTCTGTGTGTGGAGTGGTCCTCTAAGGGGCCAAGAACTAGATAGTCACTTTGGGTAAGCTCTAGAGATGCTATTTGGAGATGGGACAAACCTGCCGAAGGACAACCATTACTGCAACACTGCATCGAACTGGCCTTTATGGTAGACTGACCAGATCGAAGCTTCTCCTCACTGCAGAACACATGAAAGCCAACTTGGAATATGCAAAAAAAAAAAAAAAGCACCCCAAGTACTGTTTTTTTTTTTTTTTCTTCAAACCAGCGAATCTTGTTTCTCACAAAGATGGAACTTTTTCACCTCAACTCAGTCATGTCTGGTGGTAACCATTCACCACCCATATCCAATAAAATAAACCCTACCTACCCCCCACACCCTAAAAGTAGTGAGAGGGCCAAAAAAACTAGATACCTGTAAATAAAAAAAATCATACCTAACATTAGATGTCTTCTTTTTTCTAAAATATTCTTTTTTTCAGCCCTAAAAAAGTTAAAAACAAATCCATAATTCCCGTCGAACTTAGAAGAAGAAAAAAAAAATGCGCCCAAAAAAATGCTAAAAATGATAATCCATGTTCACCCAGCAGGGCACAGCGCAGACTGAGCTCCGCAGGGCGGGTAAAGCTTCCCACGCCCTGCAATTTGACTCAGAGTGCTATGATAGATCAATCTTGAGCCTTGACTGATTGGTAACTTTCAAGGCTTAAATTTACATTTTAGAGCACTCTTGTTGGTTGGTTTAAACCAAGCAATCAGAGCGCTCTGACTCAAATTGTAGGGTGTGGGAAGGCTTTATAAGCCTTTCCTGCCCTGCGGCGCTCAGTCTGCGCAGTGCCCTTGCTGGGTAAAGATGGATAATTTTTTGGATGTACTTTTTATTTATTTATTTTTCACCGCTCTGTTTTTTGTTTGTTTGGTTTTTTTTATTTACAAAGTTTGACATGAAATGTGGCTTTTTATTTGGCCTTTTTTGGGGCTGAAAAAAGGTTTAAGAATAAAAGAACACATCTAATGGTAAGTAATCTTTTTTTTTTTTTGACAGGTATTTAATTCCCCCCCCCCCACTATTTTTAGGGTGAGTGGGTAGGTAGGGTTTACTTTATTGGGGTGAGGAGGTGACTAGAGGCTTGGGGATCCCTACTCACCAGTCACAATAGGTCACCTCCTTTTGTTACTTAGGACCCCCACACAAAGCTCATGGGTGGGAGCCGGGACAGAAGACAATAGGTCCTGAAGATCGTCCTACCACGAATGGACAAACTGTTTGTTCTCATTCTGTTAGGACAAAATGTGGTAGTTTTGCCGGTGTCCTGTCTAAATGACTGGACGTTCAGGAATAGAGAAAGGAGGCAACGCGAGATCACAGGGGAAAGGGTGACTATTGTGGGAAAATTTCTTTGACCCACAGGAAGTAGGTCAAAGCTGGTCAAGTATAGGAAAAATACATAAGACAAAGTAGTCATTACTTTGTCTTATGTTTTAAAGAAAACTAGATCAGTTGAAAAAAAGTGAAGTACAGATCCTGAGAGAAGTATAGAAGAGGAAGCGATTGGGGAAAGGTAAGTTTGGCATGACAGTGCTGCTTTAAAGATTCTATCAAGCGGATCTGTAACTGCCTGGGGTCATTGCATAAATTGCAAAGATACCCTACTGTGACGTTTCTGCTTTGGGTCCTATGAGTGGGGTGGGGGCGCAAAGGTGAGATTTCCTTACCTGAACCTGCCCTCTCAGGCGCCGCCATCCTCTTCCTGCTCCTTTTGTTCAGCTCCTGGTGCTTCAGCGGCTAGGAATCGATGTCAGTGCTGTACTCTCGCACATGTGTAAGAGTACACCATTGAAGTTCTTGAAGGACCTCAGTGCTATAGAAAACGCTTAATTTCCTTATAGCCGTCCCTGTACTGGCTTGATGCTGGTAGTGTTGAGCTTTGAAAAAATTCGAAGACAAAGTAGTTCCTGTTTTGTCTCCGTATATCTTTTGAATATTGAGAATTGTGGCTCAGTATAGCGTAAAGTGAAATTCCATCAAAGTCAATCTGAATATTTCATAAAGATTCTATCTTTATGAAATACTAATTTTGGATGCTTTGTCATTATTAGGCATTGTGTGTAAATTGATGTGAAAACAAAAATAATTTAAAAATGGAAGCATAAAGCTGCAAGAAAACAAATGAAAGGGTCTGAATACTTTATGAATGCACTGTACACCTGCTTATGTCATGTAAAAATATTGTCACCTCTTTACTGTTCTTCTAAAATGAACACTCTAAATTAGTGCATGTACTGAATCTTAACTGAACTTCATTTTTAAGGTTTTATCGAGATGATGGATCCTCTGGAAAATGACCTCTTTGACCTTCCAGATTATGAGCATACAGAAGATGAGCGTTTTCCTCCACTTCCTCCCCCACTTTCTCCAGGTGCAGAAAACGGTGATCTGGAAAATGGAGGTAATGCAAAGAAAATTGCTGTTAGCCTACCCACACATGTCTTACCCTATTTTTGTGCCAGGATGGATGCATTTAGATGGATAATGCAGACGTGTAACTTCCTCAGCAGTTATACTCCGGATTCAGACTTTGAGTGGTTTGAGAAAACGCTGTGGTTGCTTCTTTTGGTCTTGCGTGTAGTCTGCTTATCACCCGAGAGATGCTGGAGTCCCTTTTACTAATCTAGACAATACATCTTGAACTGATTAGTGTAGACTTAAATGTGGTCCACAGTTCAGTTAGATGCTTGTGAATTACAAAGTTATTCACTTAAATGTAAATTCAAAGTAAATTTCAATTTTAAAGCCAAAATGTCCGAACTGGAAAAATTATTTTAAGTCGCCAGTGCTTTTCATTTAGCTGCTCTGGCCTTATAGTTAGAATTCACTTTGAATTCTTACTTCAGTGAATAACCCTTCCTACGGACTCTAGTATATAGGTCCTCTATATGACTCTGTGACAAGTAAGAGAACTGTTCTGGGGTGCTGACTTGTTCCACTAAATAAAATAAAATTATAACAGCAATTGTAGAAAGTACAGCAAAGTAGGAAGTAAATATTGGTTGTGTTCTGTTATGGCATGGAAACATCTGCCTGGAGAAAAACATCTATGATTTGAAATAAGCACCAGCTGGTTAGTCTGCTGGAATGTAAAGTATGAAACTTAATGTTACTTGTTTTAATTCAGGTAAGCATTATATATACCCTAGGCATGCATTTTCTTTGTTAACCTTTCAGTATGTCTCCATGTTATCCCTGAACATTCCAGGCCTCACTTTTAATGGAAATACTAACTTCAAGTGTGTAGTTTCTGTAGCGAAGCTCCAATATTCAGCATAAATATTTCCGCTGTATAATCCTTGTAGCTGAGGAAGCAATAAAATATCCAAGGCAAAATCCCCCCAGTAACTGGACGACACACGGTTCTGGGAGTCAACTGATTTTTATTCAGCCACAGCTGGCTTTTATGCAACTCCCCAAGCAAGGGGTTTCTTAAATAAATCATATTCCAGGGGCATTTCCCCAATGGACCTGGGAGGGGACAAGTTAACATTTCCCACACTCATCCTCTGTGCCTGAGAGATAATTGCGTAAGAACAACTCTTTAATTCAATTATCTCTCAGGTACAGAAAATATACAATATTTGCAAACATCATAAAACACATCTGAATATTTCAGAACCCCATGAAAGTCACCTCACCGAATAGCTGGGATCTGAGCGCCCACTTTGTCAAAATATCACTCAGATCTATTCGGTGGTTCGGGAACGCCATTTGAGTGAAGTTTTGAGTGGTCGGCCAGGAAGTGAAGCCCCAAAACAGTTCCAGAGAAATTTAGACTCGACCGGTCTTCTTTCTGGGGTTTTCGCACGAATGCCGACGAAGGCTCCCCCTGGCTGCTAGCATACGAATGTTCCACCTGCTCAGTACTCCTACTGGTTCGGGAAGTTGGATTGGCAGCGTTATCAGTTTACCGGGTGTTCGCGGGGTAGAGTAGCTGAGATTAGTTCCAAAAATTACCCCTGCTTAACTCTCATGGCCTGCGTGCCGCAGGACTCGTGAGATTTAGACAGGGGAGCTGAAGTGAGTTGCTGGGAAGGTAAGTAAGTGTGTTCTGGGCCCCCCAGGACCCTGATTGCGGCCCTGGTCTGCATTATTGGCAATATTGGTATCTTTATTGGCCGATACCGATATTGCTGAAAATACAGAATATCGGCTGATAATATCGACCAGACCGATAATCGGTCGACCCCTAATATACAAAATGTATAGGTTCCTTTTTGAAATGGCACAAGTGAACACATAACCTGTTGGAGACCTGAGAGTGAACTAACCAAAGAGCAAGCTAATTGATGTTCTGTTTATTATCAGTGTTTTCCATTTTTGGTATTTTCATAATGTTGTATTGTCTTGTGTCTTTAGATGACTGGACACAGAACATTGGTCAGACACAGAAAGAAGAGGAGCCTAAACCAACGAGGAGGGCTTCTAAAAGACCTCAGCCTAAACTGGATGCCAATAGGTAGGTACTCTTTGTTGCGGTTCATTTAGGAACAGTTAATGGGGGTCGGGAGTTAATATCGCACATGCTGCTAACATACATTTGCAATTGGTGACTCCCTTCAATTTTAGCTGCTTGGGGCACCATATTATGGACTTGCTATCAATCAGCATTGATTTTTATTTGTTTGTTTTGATGTCCTGTTTAAATGTACAAAATGAGCTGTCCCTTAAATCTATTCAGGAGATGAACCTGGGTTCAGACGATTCGTGTCAGTACTCGGGTAAAACTGAGCATAATTTTCATTCTAGATCTTATTGCCTTCCTTGACTATTACAGGCTGACCTCTCAGCGTGGCCTCCCAGCTCTGCGGAATCTGTTCGATGGGGTAAAGTTCAAAGGTAAAGGTCATGAGGTAAGTTGCAGTGCATCAGAGTATGTTGAAAAGGAGTACACAATGCTATTCACATTGCCAAAAAAGCAAATGTGGCTAGCTGTGTATCCTGGAAATATATCATAGTCTAGAAGGAATATACGTATATATGAATACAAAGGGTGGAGGTATCCCAATATAGTGTAAAAAAACTAAAGAGGATAAAAAGGAAAAAGTTCCATAAACATTAATCTGTGATTATCACGAATATAATCTTGAGCAGCAGATAGCTAAATTCAAGCTTTGTGTCTGGCTCTTAAAGGCTTCTGCAATGCTATGCTATCATATTAAATGTAATATATCATTCAGAGATAATAAATAGGACTACCACTTTAAGTGCAACCTCCAATAGAGCAAATCTACTTCATGTCATTAAATCACTCTTACCTGTCATCAAGTGCCAGCTAGAAAGAAATATCCATAAAGGTTAATAAATAATAATGCGAATAAAGAAACCAAGTATGTACATAATTCATATAATATAAAAGTGAATTAAGAGGTGTAAGTATATAGATTACATGTGATGCATCATCTCAAAACTTGCCTCTAATAGTACAAATAGTACCTTGCATCACTAGATGATGCCTAATTATATGAAATCCTTAGATACTAACAAAAATATATATAAATAATAGTACAAAATAAGGTATATACAGACATACAGCCTGATTAGAAGTAGATTAGGAGGTATAGAAGGTAGATACCATGATGCTTAGAATGGTCATGACATATCTACGTATACAGTATAGAGCGGTTCTAGTGAGGAGAGTAGAGGAGACAGTTAATAGTGTATACTGCAAATACACCTAACGGTCTCTATAATGAGAGGTCCCTCACTTACTCTTAATAACCCTTAGACTGATAGTGGTAAGTCAATGGAACTTTAATTCTACCTAAATAAAACAGTGAAACAATTCAAGTGCTATATTCAATATGTGTTGTCCATAAAGGAAAGAAAAAGAAGAAACGCGTGACGCGCGTTTCGATGCTATCTAATGAAGCCCCTTGTCAGAGGCAAACGAGCTAATGCTCAAAGGATCGCTTATATATATATACTCTGTCTGCCAGACCCTCTTTCGTGATTCCTCCAATAGGAGCCATGTATTTTCAGAGGTGTGTCTATCCTTCACCGGGTGCGTATTGTAGGCAGGACTAGTGTGATGACAATTTAAGTGGGCGGTGTCGGAATAATGTGTGTTACCAGCTCAGCCCAAGTTCTACATTGTGTCCCGATTAACAAAAGGCTTTATGCTCCCCCTATTCAAATAAAGACCAAGTGTCGGTCAGTATTGGAAACATAACTTTTCATGCATATAAAACTCGTTTAGGAGATTCATAGGATGAGGGGGTATTAAATGTCCTTAGTTGGGTTCTGTATAACCCCTTTATCCAAAAGGATAGATACATTGTCATTTCGTCCAAATTATGTCACCTACCATAAATTATGGGAAATACTTGCATATAAATAAATAAAATCATCTTTACATGTATCAGTCATGTATCCAATCTCAACAATATAGTAACATTGTCTGTAAAAAAATAAACAGTATTGCCATCTTAAAAAACGGGAACACACTCCTCAACATGAAAAAAACCATTCTAGGGGAGTCTATATTCTATAATAGTATAAAGAGAAACGAATTACAGATATGTGAAGAATTACTTAAAGGGGTAGCCCCAAAATAAATACCTGTCTTAGTCAAATGAAAACTACTAGAACTACTTCACATTATATACAGGTGTATCATGAAATAAAAAATAAAAAACAATACCCAAATGATTAATAAAGAAAAGAAAATCGTTACAAATAATATTAATCAGAGATGAATGGTGTAAATGAGAAACCCTCGTTGAGGCCCATGGGAGAAAGGGTTTTTAATTTATAAATCCATAGACTTTCTCTTTGTAATAATTTTTTATCAAGATCACCTCCTCTTGGGCCAAGTGTGACTCGCTCTATGCCACAAAAGCATATATCATCAGCAGATCCCAAATGATGGAGTTTAAGATGTTTTGAGTATCCACCAATCTCCTTGGGTTGACAGAAAGGACATGTTCACGGATCCTTTGTTTAAATGCGCGGATCGTTTTGCCAAAATAAATTTTTTTACATGAACATGTCAATATATCAAGCCCTTGGACTGGCAATTAAAAAAGGTTTTGATATTGAAAACCTGTGAATTTGTCAAATACGATATCTTTCAAGAGGGGCGAAGGATAAATTAGCATGCTTTGCATTTTTCGCATTGATATGTGCCAGATACAGGAGATTTAAGCCATGTGGATTTGTTGGGAAGCGTTCGTAGGTGACTTGGAACCAACCTGTCTTTAATATTCTTGCCTCTTCTGGCTGTTACTGAAGCATGTGATGTTATAACATTCTGTAAGTGATGATTTTGTAATAGGAGTGGCTAGTATCTATTGAGAATTTTAAGCATGGGGTGCCAACTGGCATCGAAATTCCCTATGCATCTTATCGTCTGCGTAGAGTCTCTAATATGATTATCAACCAGGAGGTCTTTCCTATCTGTCATTAGGGCACGTTGGTATGCGTTTTTCAAGCATCTATTTGGATATCCCTTACTTCTAAATTGTTCTTTTAAAACCTTTGCTTTGCTCTTAAAATCTTCAATTGTAGAGCAATTGCGGCGTAACCGTAAATATTGACCCACTGGTATTCCCCTCTTAAGGGGTAGTGGGTGGTAACATTTCCAATTTAAAAGATTGTTCGTTGCGGTTGGTTTTCTATACAAGGTAGTGGTCACATTTCCTTGCTCAGTAATCATGATGGATATATCCAAAAAGGTAATGGCTTTGCCACCAATTTCATAGGTTAATTTCAAGTTAATGTCATTATTGTTCAGGACATTGACAAATTCCTTGAAAAGTTCGGTAGTACTATTCGAAACTATAACTATATCGTTGATATAGTGCTTCCAAATATTCACATATTCAGTATATTTAACAAGTTGGGGACTGAACACTATTGTCTTCTCCCACCACCCCAGGTGGAGGTTGGCATATGAGGGCACACAAGCCGTCCCCATAGCCGTCCCTCTCACCTGGTGGTAGTACTTGCCCTGAAAGATTAAGTAATTATGTGTTAATATAAACCGCATTAAATCTTGTATAAAATGATTGTGCCTTTCAGAAGAGGTGTAGGTGTTATCAACGTAGGCTTTAAGGTGTGTCAGGCCTACCTCGTGTGGAATGGAGCTATATAAGCTCTCCACATGCAGGCTGCACAATATCGTGTTTTCAGGAAATGTCATTCCATCTAGAACATTCAGGGTGTGTTTCGTGTCCCTTAAACATGATGGTAAATTGGTGACAATTTTCCGAATAATCTTATCAACATGCACACTCACGTTCTGAGTTAAATTTAAATTACCAGAGACAATAGGTCTACCACTCAGAGTTGGCTGTTGCTTATGTACCTTAGGTAAAGAATAGAATGTTGCAGTCACCGGATTTTTAATGTACATAAATGAATATTCGTCGTGATAAATTAGTGACAGAGACAGTGCCTCATTAAGAATAGTTTTTAGTTCAGATAGGTATCCTTGTCTTGGAGTATCCTATGTGCCATGGATACATAGTCGTTCCTATCAAGAACTACTATGTTTCCACCCTTATCTGAGGGTTTATTTCCTCCATTTCCTGTAGATATTTAAGTGATTTTTGCTCTTGAGTATTACTGTAAGGGCATATTTCCAAATCTTTTTTTTCATCTTTTATAAGGTGGAATTTAAGTAGAGCTGATTTTCTTGCAGAGAGGTGGAGGTCCTTTGTCCAATTGAATTTATTAAACTCAGGAACCGGAACAAAGGACAAAGCACGTTTTAATAGCTGGGTTTCAGACTCAGATTGTATGTTGAGAGGTTAATGATCTGATTCGAGTCTAGTATCTTCTCCTTCGAAAAGTGTGTGTGGGTCTGGATCGACTGCGTGTCTGCGTGTATTCTTTCTCTTCAACTTGTAGTTTTGTCAT